AATGGTGAACACGGTTCCAACGGTGTTAATACACCGTTATTTTTCTTAATTAATTGCGTGACTTTTCTTTTTTATTTTCACATTTCGCGGTTTCACTTTAATTTGAGGTGAGCAATGATTTCGGACATTCATAAATTATGAATTCATGCTTGCACATTCACTTTGGAACCATGCCTACACATTTCCGTCCGAAATCACGGACATTCATAAATTATGAATCCATGCCTGCACATTCACTTTGGAACCATGCCTACCCATTCACTTTGGAACCATGAGATTATGAATTTTCTGTTATAAGATTATGAATTTTCAATTATGAGATTATGAATTTTCTGTTATGAGATTATGAATTTTCTGTTATGAGATTATGAATTTTCTGTTATGAGATTATGAATTTTCTGTTATGAAATTATGAATTTTCTATTATGAGATTATGAATTTACATTATATTCATAATCTCATAACAGAAAATTCATAATCTCATAAATATTTTACTTTTATGCGATTATGAATTTTCTGTTATGAGATTATGAATTTTCATTACATTCATAATCTCATAACAGAAAATTCATAATTTGATCAAACGCACGCCGTTAACTCCACATTCGCGATTTTTTTTTCTTTGTCTAAAAACGACGTCATTTGAACTTGTGTTCACCATTCACGGTAAACACGTTTCCAGGGCATAATTTGCGTGTCCCAGTCATTGCGGCTGCCTGTACGTAGTTTCAAAGGCTCAGGCTTCAATTACACTGTGGGCTTTCTGTAATCTGCTTTTCTCATGCATGCATTATATTATATTATATTGCCCTGGAAATTCTAACTCGTATGTATGCACATCATGGGATTAATTTGTAACAATAATAATGTTTTTCTAATTGATTAGGTTACCTAGGTTATCAACGGAATGAGTTTCCCGGCGGCCTATAACCCCCTTTAGAACGAAAACTTCTTGGATGAAAATATATTATTTGAGAGTGTGCTGAAAGGACATTTTGAAATGAACTATGGAGTTATTAGGGTGATAGTGGCATGTATAATATAATATAATATGATGTTTATGAGGTGAGCCTAATTAAGCAGTACAAGATTGAAATTTTGTGGTTTAAGCATTGGGTCCATCCTACCACCTTTTGAGTGAACATCATCCACTTGCTACATACACCATTTTGGAGCAGCCTAGAATGGGATCTTGTCAAGTTGCGAAACATGTTCAACCTCTCACAACAACATTCATGCACTTTAATTTCCAATAACAACAAATTTCCTTTCAAGGGATAATTCCACTTATAATTGACAGAAACTCTATTTTTTTACGGACAAAAATTATAGATATAATTACAAAAATTGTGCATGCTTTTCCACTAGTGATGAATTAACCAAAGTGACATAACCAACTACCGTGTAGTGTGATGACATCCCAATTATCATTCTACCATAGTGGAGGGGTTTAGATTGTTTGGCCTGAAAATCAAAATTTAAACGATTTAGGTTCAAGTGGTTCATATTATTTTGATTTTAATTTTTTATTTTTCATACTTTACCCTCAATTATATCACTTATTTTCCCTAAATACCCATGTACTATGTCAGTGGAAACTTTAGTAACAGAATATTCCATTAACTATTTATTATTCTTAACTTACTCATTGACTTTTCCTAAAGGAATGTATTAAGTTCGAACCCCACCTCAATCAAAGTTGACATAATTGTTGAACATATACTATGAATTGAATATGTTAGAGTGTATTAAAAAATTACAATATAAAATTTAACATGAACTTTTGTCAATTAATTAGCCAGACTATATACATAGCATTCAAAGTTGAGCATAAAAGATTTCAAATGAGAAACCTTGAAAATCATTAATTTCTTGCATTTTTTTAAAAAACAAATCTATGTTAAATTTTTCTTTTGTTTTTTTTTTTTTTTCATTTAATTAATCTTCTTTTGATTATTTAGAACAAGACCCAATATTTTAATTATGTTTTTGCATTATTGGGAATGATTTAGGTCATTATGGCATTAATAATTTTTGTATGTATTTCTATAATGGTACAACTATAAATTACTTTATAAATATTGTACTATTATTATTTTTTTTATATATAATGATGACATCTCACCAGCTCCAATTGAACAAGTTTATACATCACTCTCAAAATTTTATCAATGCATGAAAACTTCTAAAGAAATTTGTAAGTTAATTTTTACTATATCACTATAACAATATCTATTGTAACCATAGATTTCAAATTATTTTTCATCATCCTCTAAAGAAGATGACAAATAGTGAAAATGAAAACAATGACAATGCTACCCAAAAAGAGAAATAAGAAGACTTAGAGAAATTCAAACCAAAAGTAGTATTTATTTACACTATCATATTTAGACTATCAATTTTAAAAAGTTGCGAACATTTATTTTAGTGACAATTATAATGAATTCCTATATTATCTTGCATTCATATATTTTGAATTAACTATTTAAATAAACAAATTCAACATTCAATTACATATATATGAATTTCTCCTATATAATCTTGATATACTTTGAAATACTTATTTAAATATAAACATTGGGCATTAGCCGTTCACACGATGGGCGTGTAAACTTAATAATTTAAAATAAGAAGGGTTGATAATGGCAAAAATCATGTGTTCTAGGTGAAGATTATCCCTCGCTTACAGAACTATAACTGGAAAGATATCATGCAATAAATAAACAAATAAAAATCCCAATACTGGTTTGTAATGTCTTAGTGCGAATGGTCTTTATTAAGGTGGGCCAAGAATTGCATCTCCTCCAAACGACATGGCACTGTAGGATTCCTCTTTCAATCAAACCTTTTGAAAATTGAAAATGTAGTTTGGAGGATTCATTTGCATTCAGTCGCTGAGATGTCCTTGTAGCAGACTCATACAAGGGGGGCCTAATCAAGAATTGATAGATAGCTAGATGATAACACCATCCAATACAATTCAAGAAAGGATGATCAATGAATTGAATTTAGATTTCTTATTTTGGGTTGTCCAGTTTAATAAAATTAAATCGCTGAATCATGCATATCATATCTTGCGATTTACCTTCTTTATTAAAGTCTGGACAGGATAATAGAGACTCTCAAGATTGAATTGGAGTGTAATATGACATGAGTGCACGTAAAAGTCAAATAAAGGAAGAGCAAGTTGCATGCTCAACACTCACTTTTTTGTTCTTTTTTACTTGTTTGGAAGCTAAGTATCAATCTTCAGATGCATATATATGACATGGTCAAATACGTTATGCTTCTCAACTTGTGAAGCCACACTTATATTTCGTAATTTCCTAAATGAGTTATTACCATCCGAGGTCCTCCGAGTATAGTGGTTTTGCCACGTTTAGTCCTAAACTTTCAAATTGACCATCTATGGTCCTTCGACTTTCAAATTTAACCATCCGTGGTCCAAGTTAACCACCCATGGTCCTTCAACTATTAAATTTTAACTAACCATGGTCCTTTTAAGAGGACCAAGACTGGTTAAATTTCGAAACTTGAAGGACCATAGGTGGTTAACTTAGACCACGAATGGTTAAATTTGAAAGTCGAAGGACCACAGATGGTCAATTTGAAAGTTTATGACTAAACGTGGCAAAACTACTATACTCGGAGGACCTCAGATGTTATTAACTCTTTCCTAAATATTGCTACATGCATGCATCTCAGTACGTTCTCATGCAATTCGATCCATCAGACAATTTCCAGAGCTTCTTAAGATTCATGAACCTGCCGCTTCAGTTTCTTGACAATCCGACCAATCACAATCGAATTGGTGGACCAGTTAACTTGCTAAAACTAATAGTTTTTTTTTTTTTTAATAATATTGATTTTATTACAATGTAGTAACTGTTCCATTAATTAGTAATATATAATATAAAAAAAAAATTATCTGTGCATCACACTGATAAATTAACAATTACTTGTTCAAATTCAAATAAAGATAAAAATTATATTATGATTGGCAAATTCAAGCCTCACATCGGCAAAATGTAGAAAGAGAGATTAGATAAGTGCTCATGAATAAATTTGGGGAACATGATCCTTAGGGGGCGTTTGGTTCACGGAATCTTGGATTACCCCAGGTAATAGGATTACCTCCTGGAAGGTAATGTGAGATTTTGGGAATGTAAGATTACCTTGTGTGTTTGGTTTGGATGGTGTAATATAATATTACCTTGTTTGGTTCAGGGTTATATTTTAGGTTATATGAATCAATTTACAATAATGCCCTCAATAATATATATATATATATATATATATATATATATATATATATATATATATATATATATATATATTATGTGTGTGTATTTATTTATTTATATGTATGAATGTATATCAAAATTTAAATATTAAAAAAAAAACTAAATATATAAATATACACATATGTATATTTGATTATATAAACATATATTAATTTCATTATTATTATTATTATTATTATTATAATTATTATTATTATTATTATTAGTTAAGAAGGGCAAAGTTGGAATAATTCAAGGTAATCTAAGATTACCTAAAGAAATGGGGGTAATCACATTACCTTGAAACATTACCGCCACATCAGCTTTCAGGTAATATAACATTACCTGGTAATCTCATAACTTGAACCAAACAAGGTAATATAACATTACCAGACTCAGATGACCTAGGTAATCCAAGATTCCGTGAACCAAACGCCCCCTTAGTAGTAACGTGTAATAATGTAATCTTTAGAGTGTAGAATCAAATTAAATGATCATATATGTTTTTTCAATATATATGTGTATTAATTATCCATCATGTCAGATTTGACCAAAACGTACAGTATTTGGCACAAGAATCACTAGTAGCTAGCCTAGGTAGTAGGCCACATACCCACGTGAAGACCACGCCCATGCATGAAAATGATAGCATCACCCGTCCGTCCATATATACAAGCTAAGCCAACTTGGAAATTAAATTACACATATAACCAAATCTCCGGCCAATCCTTATATATATATATATACATAACTTATATTCGATCAGATCAGTTCCCAAATTCTTGCATATGGATAACTTCCAATCCCAAACCCGGAAAGGCTTATTCAAATGCCAGAAGAAGAGGCTAACCCAGGATCAAGTGAGGCTGTTAGAGGGGAGCTTTAACGTGAATAACAAGCTGGACGCGGATAGCAAGTCCCAGCTGGCGCAGCAGCTGGGATTGCCACCGAGGCAGATTGCAATTTGGTATCAGAACAAGCGAGCGCGGCGCAAGAGCCAGAGCCTGGAGGTGGACCACAAGGCCATGCATGAGAGGCTGGAGGAGGTTTTGTCGGATAACGAGCGGCTGAGAGAAGAGGTGCAGAAGGCGCAGGAGATGCTGCAGGTGGCGGCGGCGGTGGCGCCCTACTCCTGCAGCTCCGGTGATGAAGCCGGTGGGAGCTTGGGTTTGCTTCATGGTTCGTCCAAAGAGCTGTATGCTTGCTTGCTGGATGAGCACGAGAGCCAGTTTGGAACCTCGCCGGCTGATTTATTGCACAACTTCTTTGCTCCACCTGGATTATCTTAATTAATACTAGTTTAATTTAATTTAATTTGGTGGTTGGTTAGAATTTTACCATCTGTCGTACGTTAATTACTGTCTGGCTTGGCTTTTGCAGCTGGACAATCAAGTCTGTGTAAAGTAAATAATTGTCACATAATGGAAATTTACCTTTACTTCATTTCTCCCTTTTTTCATTCTCATTTAAAAAAAAAAACAAAAAAAAACAAACAAACAAACAAACGTACAATTAAACCAATTTGAAATTTTCTCTCCTCAAAAAAGTAAAAAAAAAATTCCAATTAACACATTACAATAAAACATTTTGTTCATAGAGTTAGCTCAATTGGTTCGATTGATCATTTTAAAAAGTTGCTCGAGCAGCACTTTAGAGGTTTAAATCCCAAACCTAGAGAGTCATCAAGAGATCTTGACTGATTAGAGAAGATATTTAAATACCTGGAACTGGAGTGGGAGAACCTGGAACCAATAGGGCAACTCACGATTTAATGATTTACCTCTTTTAAGAACTATGGACTTAAAATTAGTATAGCATAAGTTGGATGCTTAATGTATTAAAAAAAAAAAATCTGAAAAATTACAATCATTCTGGATCTAGGGTACATCCTCTTAATGGGCTAGTATAATCCTGGGAGCATTTAACCAATCGTTATATCCTACACCACGGCGCACATAGCACTGTGTACCGCGCGCCTCCCAAAACGACGTCGTTTTGGGGTAGTGTTGGGAGGCGCGGTAGGAAGTTGATGAGATTATGTGTATTTGTTCACAACGTTATGTGTATTGATTCATACAGTTATGTGTATTTTTTATACAATTATGTACACTCTTTTTATACAATTATGTACATCCGAATCAGAAAATTTGTATGTATTATGTTAAGAGTTGATGTGTATTATGTTAAAAGTTTATGTTTATTATGTATTATGTTAGATTATGTGTATTATCTTTTAAAAAGAGTATGTATATTTTGTTATATAATTATGTACATTCATGTATAACATTATGTGTATTCTAGTATAACATTATGTACATTCTTGAACAGCGGTTTTTTTTTTTTTTAAGAAAAAACTACTGCCATTCACTGGGGCGGGAAATTTCAAAAAAAAAAATAATTAAAACGACGTCGTTTTGCATCTGGGCGCATAGTGCAACGCGTGCCGTGGTGTAGGATATAAATTGCCATCTAACTATTTTCTTGTTCATATGCCATTGGGCCAGTTTTATGTTTGGTTGAGTTGGAAAGAGCTTTAACAAGGTTTCACACTTTCACGTTTTGGGTCTTATAAACATCAAATACTTGTTAAAAGTGGGCGACATTCTGAAAATAAATAAAAATAAAAATTGTAGTTATTTTATTACAAGAATATATCATATCATACTTTTGGGCCCTAAAAAGTTTATTTCATGTATTGGCCAGTCAATCGTTATGCTATAGGTCCAGCATGCATGCTGGACACGGTTATCATTTTTTTTTTTAAAAAAATTTCAGACCATTTTGTTATAAGAGTATATGTTCATAATTTTATTATTATATGTTCATAATTGTAAGTTCATAATGTCAGAGCTCTATGTTCATAATTCCATAACTGTACATTCATACTTCCATAATTGTACATTCATAATTCCGTAACTGTACATTCATAATTCAATAACTTAACTTCATAATTTTCGAAGCTCTATGTTCACAATTTTAGAGCTCTATGTTCATAATTTTATCACTATATGTTCTTATTGTAAGTTCATAATGTCAGAGCTCTGTGTTCATAATTTCATAACTGTACATTCATAATTGCATAACTGTACATTCATAGTTCCGTAACTGTACATTCATAATTCAATAACTGTAAAATCATAATTTTCAAAGCTCAATGTTCACAATTTTAGAGCTCTATGTTCATAATTTTATCACTATATGTTCATAATTGTAAGTTCATAATGTCAGAGCTCTGTGTTCATAATTTCATAACTGTACATCCATAATTCCATAACTATACATTCATAATTTCGTAACTGTACATTCATAATTCCATAACTGTACATTCATAATCTCATAACTGTACATTTATAATGGCACAAACGAATAACGCCGTTAATGTCGAGACAAAATCAATTTTTTTTTTTAACTGAAATGACGCGTTTTCCCTGAAAACGACATTGTTTTGAACTCGTGTCCACAATGCATTGTGGACACGAGTCCACTGCATAATTTGCGTTGGCCAGTAATATAGGCTTTGTTTGGACTTTGGAGATAGATTGGTAGTAATTAAGTTAAACTTAGATCATGTATGTGTGAACATATTTTGATGAGTAATACTAGAAAATTAATATTTTTTTCTCCAATTCATCTCTCATGACGTGGCAATATCTCATTGGTAGGTAATTCTATTTTGAATTAGTGGTAGAGTCAATTAATTCATGACACCCAAAAAAGATATCACATCAGGAAGGAAAATATATGGAGTGAGGTGAAATTTAAGAGGGGAATAAATTAAAGTATTTTCCTATTTTGATTATGAGTAATGGCATAGAGTTCGAATCTCATATATGTTACTTGATTTAAAACTAGGAATTTGTGTTCCCCTCAACAAAAGGGAAAAAGAACATTTGAATTATCATTAGGAATACATTTTTTTTTTATTCATATATGCCATGAACATGATAAAAACATATTACTGATAAAATTTATTGTGTAAATGTATAATAACAATTCATAAAGATGGTAATACAATTTACCCTTTATTAATTACAGTTTATCTAACAACTTTAGAGAGCTCATTATATACATTATTATATTCACATTGCATTTAACAAAAAAATAAACAATAAAAACAAAATGTTACCCAACCCAATATTATATTCAAACCTATAAAATTAAAACAATTAAAGTAATTTTAAAAAGTTAAAGAAACCATGAGAAAAGAAAAGAGTAAAATTGTTGGGCAAAGTTATACTATTCTTTTAAAAATTTGTCTCACATTAAAAGTGACAAGCATTTTTCCCTCATTTTGTATTCACACCTAATAAAAATAAAAACAGGAAAAAAAATCACGCATTGCTACTACTTCATGTGACACTCGTGCAAACAGCTATGTCATACGTCCTTTGTAATTTAAAAAGAATTACATATATACATTCAATGTTAAGATTCAAAATTTGTATCTAACATATTAAAGTGTTGGGTGAACTACAATAATTATGATGATTAATAAAGTGCAAATTCAGAACCAAAACATACAACGTTGGTGAAGAATTGATGATGAGGTTTGGGGAGCTGAAGACATGGATGGAAGCAGCAATGCACAGTCGTCGTCTCTTCAACCTGCCAGTTGCTAATGCTAACTACTTGTACCACTGAAATAAAGAACTCATTTTTATTTTTATTTTTTGGGTAAATTGCAATAAAGTACTTATTATTCAGCAAGAAAGGCAAGCTATGGATGGTAGTGCGTTTGGTACGATTTCTCCATTATACAATTCTCATCGCTATTTCTACGTCACCACACATTGAATGGTCAATGAAATTGGGCAGTTGAGGGAATTAAATGCTCTCCTTTTTTTTCTTTTTTTTTTTTTCCATTTTGCTTTTTCACCTCTAATTGCATCATCTTCCTCATCATATCCTTCACCATTATTTTAATCCATACATATCTATCTGCACATCTACAGTTGACTTCACTTCATATTCATATACAACTCCACTGCTTAGCTTCATCACACTTATCTCTTTTGAACGTGCACGTGGGAGGGTGTTTCAGGTAATTTCATGTTGATCCCTGTCGAAACAATTTCAATCAAGTTAGTCAAACTTTTGATTTTGTAACAGTTACAATTAGTTCAAATCTCGGCAGGAAGTGACCTATTAATTAATCTTCTTAATTTGAACCGATCAGCTATTAATAACATAAGCTAATTTATTTCCTTTATGATCTTTTACCTGCTAAAATTATAAGCTGAAGTTTACCCAACATATACAAATTAGACAATAGTAACTGTGAATTTCACTTAAAAAAAAAATTAGCGTTAATCTCAATCCAAATGAATGACCCAAACAATTTAACTTAATTTCCCACCAAACCCAAAAATATAAAATAAAAAAATCAGGAAGGAACATTTGGCATGTTTAGGACATTCATACCTTCACTAATTTATTTAAATTATTCACTGTAACTACTCCGAGTGCTATTTCATTAATTAATTAATATTATAAATTAAATAAATGAAGAGATGATATGTATAGCATTGTTGGTCGTCATGCAAAATATATTAATATTATTTTTAGTGCCTCCTAAACAAGTAAACAGCGCACGTATTATATAATTAATTTCATTAAAATAATGGTAGATTTGTGTGTAAGATCATCATTACATCACTGATAATTTTAGACTTGTTAGTCAACTCGACGTGATATGGATTTTAGTGGGATAAATCAATTAAGATTATGGCAACACGCGTTTCTAATAATATAATGTTGCTAATTAAACATGTAATTATAACTAACATATATGTAAGTGGCTAAAGTGCACCAAACATGCCACTTTGATCTATTATATGGAATTTGCATTTTCAAGATTTAAACTTGAAGACTTTTGATGAAATTGGAGAAGATTAACACCATTTCATTTTATTTTTCTCCTAAAAGATAATCCCGGTAACTCAATGGCTGTCGAGATTCAAACCTTGGTCTCTTCTACTAAATACTATCTACTGAACCAGTAAGCTAACTCCGTGCGGGTCATCTCATTTCATTCTCGTCCCACTCCCTGGATGAGATCTTTATTTAATTTTTTTTTTCTAAAGAAATTTGTATTGTGAATTCAAAATTATGGAGACAACTTTAATTAACTAAGTTGGTTGAACGTTTAACTTGACAACTATAAGGTTTCAAGTTTACCTCACTGTGAGAGTTGTCTATTGGTCTTTTTGGTTTGAAATAATTAGCTATATGCAACCTAGTTAGTCAATTTACCCCTTGTAATCCTTTGATCCATTATATGGTATTTGCATTTTCAAGATTTAAACTTGAAGACTTTTTATGAAATTGGAGAAGATTAACACCATCTCATATTCTTGATCGTCCCACTTCATGGATCGGATGAGATCTTTATTTACTTTAATTTTTTTTTTAATAAAGAAAAAATTATTGTGAATACGGAATTATGGTGACAACATTTAGCTAAGTTGGTTGAACGTTTAAGTTGATAATTATAAGGTTCCAAGGTCAACTCATTGTGAGATTTGTCTATTGGTCTTCTTGGTTTGAACTGATCAGTTATGTGCAACCTAGCCAATTTACTCCTTTAGTCATTTGTCGGCTAGGGTCACAATGTGAACTTTATTCAGAACGCACCTTTGGATAGTGGGAATAGACTATGGGTTTTCCCTTGAATCAAAGTGAATACGGAATTATGAATTTATCAATATATTACTATGGAGTATATTTCTTATACACATAACAATCGTACAACCAAATAATGCATAAATTAAGATGAACTACAAACCTACAAGAAATAGAATTCATATATATATGCTACATTAAAATAACATTATTGGTGGGGGATTTGATCCGAATTGGAGTCTGCTTGTGGCTAAATGGTCCTTGGCTTGTTCTTAACAACTACCAACTGGCCGTATTTCTTGAAGGTTGATACTTGATAGTATATAGTTAATACGAAGTAGGTGTTATATTCTACAAGGTTTTGAACTAACAAGGATTAAAAAGCGTACGTATATGTTTCAATGGTGAAACATATCAAATTGTTACTGTGTGTCTGTGTGATGTGTCCCTTTCCTGAATTATTAAAATAAAAATAATAATAATAATGAGGATTGAAGCCAAAATATATGGTCATAGTAGATGATGTTAGGCATACGGGGATGGGGCTATCATTTAGGTGTCATAACTCCATAACCACTTTCATCCATTCATGAAGACTTGACTGCCTTTACTTTACTACAGTACATCAGGATACCAAATCATTTTAGGCACTATTGCCTCAGCATGAGAGCCTGGTGTATGAGATAAATAATAAAATTGTGTTTTTATACTTGTGTCTAGCTTTAATAAGGCTAATTCCACACTTATCTGGATAAGAATTTGTTGGGTGGAGTCCAGCAACATGTGACTAGGGAATTGTTGGGGATAAAGGGTCAAGTTCAGCACCTTGACTCTCTCAAAAATGTGTGGCAAAGGAAATAAAGTTGCACTTTCAATGCACTACTAGGTATAACTTTTGGCGTAATGGTAAGTGTGATCCTACCAAGTGGTATCAGATTCATGATCCTAACAGAATTGAATCATGTATTTTGGTGCTGTCTTTTTTTTTTTTTCAGTAAAGGACCACAACAAAGTAAATCAGCTCAAACTAAGAAAGCTAATAGGCCAATTCACGGGGAGTCGAACTTGTTATTTAGTAGTTATCAAATCAAGAGTGAAGTGATGGGGCGGGTGTTTTACCGGGTGGGAATTGAAGAGAAAAAAAAAATTGTGGTCTGGTGAGTGCAAAACAAGTATAACTGCTCCTGCATGCAGGTAAAATTGGGATTAGAAGGAGACACAGATATGGTACTAAACAAAATGTAGTGGTTAGCCAACGTACAGCAAAACTTAAGACGAACGTCGTACAGTGCTCTAATCAACGTTGGTTTTTACCAAAAGTCCACCAAACTTGAAGCGCCACTGTCTCCCCCAGATCACACCCTACCTACTTATACTCGAGTGTACCAACGTGACCCATCATTTCAATCTCCGTAGCAGTTAAAGAGTAGTTCCAATTTTTCAATTCGATTAAGTTTCGCAGCAGTTACGTACGTTAGTTTATCCTCAATTCTTAGCCTCCGTTCCATCACCATTATTTACCACGTATCCTTATCACACCAAATATTATTTTGTTTACTTCACGTGGTGAAATAATTTTATGTGGAGACGCAGCAAAAAAACAAATGGCCACCTGGTAAACACAGGCGAATCCCCTAGGATACCTCAATTGTCTTCCTGCGGGCGTTCAAGAATCCTTAATTAGCTTAGTAGTCGCGACTAACGATTAACGTTGTTCAAAGTCATGTTAGAGGTTAATTAGAGATGACCCACATCAAGCCATGGCAGCCATCCGACATCTTATATGTGACTTCGTCAAAATTACTACTCCGCCGTACGTTACGTTTGAGTATCCATTCTAGTAGTGATATATGCATCATGTTAAAGAGAATAAAGTCGATACTTTTTCGAGCTTACTTTTACAATTTCTAGTCATATGAAGGAGTAGAAATTAAGAGTACATGTAATAGAACTCAATCTAATTAGTCTTACTGAAATACTGAATGGAGTGTTAAAAAGTGTGGTAGTACTTTCATTTAATAATTGCAGAATGTAGATTATATAGTTGAAAATTAAACTTTATGCACATTTTTTGTAAGTATATATAATGAAAGAGTTCTACACTTCTTCACTTTGAATAATTAGTTATTGGGAAAATGACACTTTTTCCCCCTGAGTTATATACCTATAGTATTTTTTTCCCCCTGAATTATTGAAGTGGCTGTTTTTCCCCCTGAAATGTTAAATGGACATATTTACCCTTAAACTAAATATTTAATTTTTTTTTTCTCCAACAAATTATGACCATAATTTGGTTCAAACTAAACAAACACTATAGCAACCAAACCGAAATATTCCAATTACAATTTAGAACCGAAATTCGATATTTAGAGTTTATTAAAATCGTGAACCGGAACGGATGGTTCATGTTCCGAACTGAAAAAATAAAATACATTTATTGTTGAATTTAGACTATTTTAAAATAAAAAATAAAATTTTAAAATAAAGACGGTTCAAAATCGCGAATCAGATCCGGAACCGCCGGTTCACGGTTCAAGATTCAATTTTTTTGATACATAATTTTAATAAATCGACATTTAAATATTGGGTTCTAGATCTGAATTATAACCGTAAACTATTAATTCGATTGCTTTAGTATCCGGTTCAATTCAAACCGAACTGTGGTCATCCCTACGTATACGCAATAATTTGTTGGAGTAATAAAATAAATAAAATGTTTACTTTAAGGATATAAATGTCAATTTAATATATTAGGGGGAAAAAACACCACTTTTAGAATAATTGAGGGGGCTAATGTGCTTACCTAAATAATTGAGGGGGGGGAAGTACTATAAATATATAACTCAGGGGTAAAAAGTGCCATTTTCCCTTAGTTATTTTTATCATGTAAATTTTAAGAAAAATGTCAACATCAATTTTTTGTAAAAATTAGAGCAGAAATAATATTTTCCATGATGAAATTCTATCGTTCACATAAAAGTTAAAGATGCATAATGACTGGTGCAGTAAAAGTTTTTGGAAGTTGTAATCTTGAATGTATGCTGACGTAGATGATTGCCCCACTGGTTTGATTTTATCATCTGACAACGTAACGTCGTAATTTACGTACCAACAAATTGAAAGAACAATCTTAATCTGGGCACTTAACCAAGTTGAAAATCGCAAAATCAAAAACCAAAAAAAAAAAAAAAAATTGCATTAATGTACAAAGACATAAATTATTTAAGGGGAAAAAAATGGAAGGAAATAACATAATGATAATGATAATAATAATAATAATAAAATGAATTTAAAATCCGATGCATCCTTGTTTTTATAGGATAGGATATATAATAGAGTAAACAGCAGATTAAGGACCGAGTCAAAGCCACAGGGCACCAGCCTTTCTAAGGAGGGGTACCAAATCGCCGGAAATATGAGCCGCCATAAGCTTTTCCAGCCCACCAAAAAGCTTTCCGCCGATGAAAACCGCGGGGAACTCGGGCAGTTCGACGGCGTCATCGCCGGCGAAGGCGACGATCCTGAGAAGCCCGTGGATGAGGGCGGCCTCGTCATCTTCATCGAAGGCGTAAATTGTGGGGTTGACGCCCAGCCCGAAGAGCAAGCGCTGCACCACGTGGCACATGCAGCACCCGCGCCTCGCGAACACGATTATCGCATTCTCCGCAACCATGCTGCCCAGCCTGGACGACAAAAGGTGCGAGTAGTCGCTGTCGCCGCTGGAGTTCGAAGACCCGCCGCCGCCGCTGCCGCCGCTAGAGGAGGCGGAGAAGTAGTGTCTGGAAGGAAAGCCGCGATGCATAGTGTTTATCTTCCGAGGGAATGGTGCAAAGGGGGGTGGGGGGGAGTGGAGAGGGATTTCTGGGATCGATCGAGTGGCGTTTATATCATTAGTGGAGACGAGGAAGAGAGAAGGGGGGACTGTAACGCCAAATGGCGTGACGTAATGTTGCACGTCACGGTTACTGTAATCTCTGTGTCGATAACAAAATGGGAAAATATGCTACCAACTTGAAATTTTTTAAAACATTAATGTTACGTTTAATTACGTTTAAATTATTAATGATGAATTTGACCAATAGAATGTTGATAGTAATCAAACAAGTGATATTTTGGTACGAGAGACGAGAGTCATGTTTCACAGATTCAACTACCCTTTTCGAGACACATATGATATAATTGACAAATTAAAAATATATATAGAAATTATCACCATCATGTACTAATTTTCCGTTGGATTGTGAGAAAATATTTTCTTTAATAATTAGATATTTTCAACTTCATCAAATTAATTTTAGAATTCTGTCCCAAGAGTAACTATAGTGATAAATTGGAACTTATTGGTTAAACTCTAGTTTTCACGAGTCAAACTAAAATAATGTTGTTTATTGCAGATGCTACTATACGCTTTTTTACAGAAGAGTGACCACAATTGTTAGTGGTCAGCACGGGATTATAGGATAATCATTAATTAAGCCTCTGCTTTCGTGGTCACTTAATAAATCCTGGCATTATTTGTTTACGTGATTTTTTTTAATACTATTGAAGATTAGTATTTGTTATATACTTCTCTAATTAATTCAGCTCAAAGGGTGATATTCCCTCAAGGTGAATTACAGATGTGTCATTTGAGCGCAATGTACTTGGCCCTGTTTCCGTGATTTCTTTAATCATTAATGACAAATTCCTTTCCCTTTTAACATCTTTTGTCCTACATTTTCTCCTATATCCATCTTAACATAACCTCCAAATTGTCACTTTTTTAACATCTCATCAATCGATTATACTTTTTTGGATGACAAAGAAACGAGTATTCATTACATGAGAATGTATATTGAGTAAACTTCGTTATTGTGTAATAGCTCGCAAATCATTCACAAAAAATAAACCACATCAAGAACATCTAATCGTGTGTGACATACTCAACCAATATAGTGTATACAAGAACCAAATTCATGATCTTCAAGTATTAATCTATTATACTTGTTTTTGTATTTAGTTACTGTATAAACATCCACATGCAAGTTACTAATTGATATTAAGATTTTAAAAAACTTTATGGACAATATCAGGTTAGAAACTAAATACTCGATCTTTTCATCATCTCATTTAATTTTATGTATCTAATTCACTTATTAGTGTGACTTGATTCAAATTATTTACAATTCAAATTTGTATAATATTTCATTTATAGTTAATATCTAAAATTATATATTTAGAAACTAAATAAACAACATTATAAGATATAAAAAAAAAAACAAATTAAAACTTAGAAAATATTTTTTAAAATAAAGAAAGAAAATTTAGTTATTACAATTGAGTTTAATATTTGCTTGCTTGTGTTGTTGTTGTTAAATCAACGAACACTAATCTAAAATGATATTCTCAAATATAAATTAATTACAATTAAATTTCAATTCATTTGAAATGGATAAACTACTGAATTAAATATAGATATAATTTTTGTTTTTTAAAAATATTGATATTCAAAAAGAACATGTTTTTTTTTAACAACGGAAACCCGTAGACATATACGAAGGTGTAAAATGGGTAAATTTCTCTCATATATGATAGCCGTGCAAATCTATATGAGAGGTAAATTGGATTATAAAGACTTTATCTGATGGACTCGACCGAGAGAGTGTTGATAATAATTGAAGTTCACGAGTTTAATTTTCACACACATCCTCATGATTGAACCCGTTAGTGTAATGAAATGGACATGATTTTGACATATATCGGCATGCATACACATTACACAATATAATATAAAAAAAGAATACGAATTTCTAGATAAATTTATACACACGCTATAATGTGAATGCGTGTGAAAAATGTACAATAGAAATTAAAAAGATTCATATTAGTACTGTTTTTGGTAGTCTATAGAGTATTTAATGCAGTAATACTTTCTCAATAACTTGTAATGTGGGTTAGATTTTTCGAAATTATATTTTATTGTAAAACACGTTGATAATAATGAAAAAAGATATTTATATAAATAAATAAATTAACAAACCACGGTTAAAAAATAATAGGTATGGTCCCACTTGTGATTTCATTATGAATTATCTTGATTCACTATATTTGTTAAAATTACAAAATTTTAAGTGTAATCTTAGGCAGTATTATTCTTATTACATTAATACTTTGATACGTTAGGATTAATAAGTCGATTAATTAAGATAATAATTAGTACTCAATAACAAAACCAATATATTTTAACAGCTAGTTAAGGGCTATCTAAGTATTCATATTGTTGTAGGCTAATTAATTTTACAGAGTGTTCTCTTATTAGTGTAAATTTTGTTAGAGTAGCGATGCAAAAACTTGATTTTGCATGTCTGGTTGGGTGTCAAAAGACGACAGATTTGAGGTAGGCGACAAGAAACGTTTTCTAGGAATACAACATTAGTGCCTCTACGAGTTAATAAATAATACAGTAATTAACTACTAAAAAAAGTAATAGAATAAATGTTAAGAAGTGTTTTTCATATTTTTTTTTTTTTTTAGTAGAAGGAAGGGTCGAAGGCCCCATGAGAGAGTTAAGCTATTCTTCGTGTCGCAACACTGTTCGCATCGCGAACCATTAACGAGTGGAGGTCTTCCGGAGCATGATCTAGAACAGTAGTCTCCTACGGCGCGTTTTTCCCCAGATTGGCAAGGAAGTCAGCACATTGGTTTCCTTCTCGAAGCACATGAGAGAGCTCAAACACGGGAAAGTGTTGCATGAGAGTTCTGCAATCTGCCACCAAAGTATCCGTTTCTGGGGATGAACCAACATTCTTGTTAAGCACTTGAGTAATAGCCAGAGAATCCACTTCTGCCACAAGATTGGTCACGCCGAAATCTTTAGCAAGACAGCCCTTGACGAAGGCCCCAGAGCTCGGCAATAAAACTATTAGCGTAGCCAATTTTTGTAGTGAAGTCAGCCAACCAGTTACCTAAATGATCCCGCAAGATCCCCCTGGCGCTTGCGAGGCCGTTTGATGATTTCTTAGCGCCATCCCTGTTAAGAAATGTTTTTCCTATGAAAGTTTTTATTTTTGTATGGCATTCAAAACACCAGATGTATACACGTATGTATTATACTAGTTTTTAAATCTGTATTGCGTGACTGATTTAATGTTTAATGTTTGTATTTAAATAAATAATTCAAGGTATATTAATGCAAGATTATATATGGGAAGTTCATTATATAGTTGGCATTAAACATTAATGTTTACACTTTTTTTAAAACAAGAATTAATGACCATTTCTGTCCCTCGACTATGTCGAAATTACCAAATTGGTCCTTAACTATTAATTTTAACCAACTAAATCATCAAGTATTGATTTCGAACTGATTTAGTCCCCCGTCAATTTGGTTGTGAAATCGTCAAAAACCAATCACCGACAAACAAAATTAAACCCCCACCCGGATGCCTCACTCTCACATATGATATGCCCTAACAATAGTGAAAGTACCATTCTGATCTCAAAGTATACATCTATTTCACAGCAAAATTGACGGGGGACCAAATCCGTTACAAAATCAATAGTTGAGAATTTAACTGATAAAAACTGATAGTGAGGACCAATCGGATAATTACGGCATAGTCGATGGATCGAAATGGTCATTAATTCTAAAAGCAATTATTTAAATACTTATTCTAGTTGGCATAGTATTATGTAGTAGATACTACTTTTCGTTACATGCATGTATTATATATCTAAATATATCAGATATAAATACTAATATTAAATTATTTAGTATAACAAAAAATAGTATATATAATTGTCATGTGTACCCATACTATCGTCCCAAATGTTGAACATCACAATAGAAAGTCCTGAAAATTCATTACTCTTGTAATAATATTAAATTGTTTAATGTTACACCTCCTCACTCTTTATGCGCCACTACTTAAGTAAACTTATTTTATAATTCGTAGTTAAGATGGTCAATATATAAGTAACGAACCAATAAATATATACTGATCGGGTATTTTCCTTGGGCGTATAACTAAATACCTGATCGGTTTGTACTCTCTGTATCGCGAAGGACATTTTCTGACCACATTTGGTTCCAATCCGACCTGAGTCGGTAGACAAATGCATTCCTTTATGTTATCGGTTACGTAATTTGCCCTAAACTCGCGTTGAAAATCTCAACCTTAATGCTCGGACCGATTATTTCGATTAAACAAGCTTTTACGCCAAAGGACAAGCACGACAAATTACAATATACTCGGTCACATCACATTTGGACTTGTCAGGCATCTCATGACACGTGGACATATCAGCACAAACACTGACCTGTCCAAATGCATACAATGATACAAGACGCGTGGTTAGCATACTTGTTTCCCAGCATGTGTCTTCCCCAACCTCTATATAAGACGTATTAAATTTCTTGAAGGGGGACTTTTGGACTTTCATTTTACACAGTTCATTGAGCTCAAGAACTTCCGACACATAGTTACCCAAACTTATACGCTTACTTTGTTAGCAATACATATACTTGTACAAATCCCCTGAAGTATTTACCACATCATCTACATTTTACTATCTCTGCACATTTTTCTATATGAATATGATAATATCAAATGTTCTTGTTTGGTAGTTTTATATAGGGATTACATCCCTCCCCTCACCCCGCGCTCCCCACACATGTTTTTAAGTCATATAAAATTCTCAAAATGTTATATTATCTCAAAATATCATTGAATCAAACACTTTGTAATTTGTAAAGTTTCATGTTTTCTTGTATGTAAATGGTACTTGGTTTCATATCTTAGTGGTTGCTGACATATTAATTGCATTGACATTTATGTACACAAAAAATTATTATAATATTAAAATATAATACAGTATT